ACCCACCGGGGGGTACAGAATTGTGGGTATCCCGTTGTACCCCAGGCAGTTTCCTCAACGAAGGAAAGAAATCCTAAATGTGGTGGACACGTTATCGCATGCTTGCTACCACTGTTTCACGCAGCAGAGAAGAAGAATAAGAAAAAGAAAAAAACAAAAAAAAACGAGGCAAAGAATGACAAACTAAAATATGAGATTTCGTCAGATGAGAAAAATTATACGAAGGGGTACAAAACTGAAAGGGACTTGAAGAAAAAAACGGAGAGTGAAAGTCCTCTCGGGCATTACAATCTGGGTGCAGACACCTCGGAGGTGCGCCAGCGAATAAATGGAAAAAGAAAAAAAAAAAAATGGCTGCTTTTTCCTTAATGCCTATAATTATTCTGCTTGCGTTTGCCAACATGGCCATGAGGGCATAATTAATGAATATATCACCTACATGATCCTCCGAAGGTTTTCCTCAAAAACGTCGCCCCCTTCCCGCTGTACAGGCCCACATGGGAGGAAAAAATGCACAAGAAAGGGACAGCGACACCGAGGTGATAATCCAGAAAATTATATCCCGCCATAATGAAAAAAAGGAAATTTTTAAGAAGGCCCTGAAGCAGGGTTTTTCCGACGCTCTCAACGAAATAGACAGCAACATTAAAGCACTGGTCGAGGTGCGTGCCGTAAAATTAGCTGCACCACAAATGGGCCAAAATGAGACGCGGCAAAGTGGTGGAGCAACTGGATGCGCCACCTAACTGTGCCAAATTGTGAACGCACAAAAATGTTAAAACACAACGTTACAAAAAAAAATTTCAATGCAGAAACAAAAAAGTAGGCGGCACGAATTTCACAAAAAATATGAACAGAAAAAAAAGAGAATGATAATAATTATGGAGAAGGAAATAAGCATGCTGACCAGGGAGATAAACGTAACGATCTGTGTCACGGAGCGGAAGTGTGGGCTCCCTCAACGTGTGTTACCCCTACACATATGCGCATGGTCACCCCTACTACATACATATATATAATACACATGCCGCCCCTCCAAAACAGGCTTTAACCGACTCCTTGAAGAAAATTGGCGTGAACAGAAATGAAGTGCTAAAGCTGCATGAAGAGGGGAAGTCCATCTTATCATCCAGCGAATTGTTACAAAAGAGTCAAGCAATTATCAAGGTATGTATTCATACATGTTGTAAACGCATCCTTAGATAGACACAACATGAGGGGAATCCTTTTTTTAGGAGAGCTCTACTGGGTAGATTGCATGCCGCATACGTACTCATGTGTGTGATGGGAAACTTCCTATTGTCCCTTTTTTATTACAGAAGGTAAAAGAGAATTTGCAAAAAATGAATAGTGACATAATTGGAAAGGAAAAGGAGTACAGCAAGCGAAAGAAGTTATGCTTTAAGGCCTTGGCCACGGCGTATGAATAGCTGACAAGGGAAGATACTTCTTCACACGTTTCATTTTGGAGCTTCTACCTTTGCGCAGTTGTCCATTTTGTGGGATTCCTTTTAAGGTGGCGCCCTTAAATGGGTAGTTCCCATTGCATATGCCATTACACGTTTAGGAATTATGTGGAGCTGCTCAGTTACTTCTTCTTCCACTACTACTTCTTCCACTTCTTCGTCTTCTTCTTCTTGTACTCCTTTTTCTTTTCCTTCTCGTAAACGTTTGGGCCTCACAAGATGATGCTCTGTCCCGGCTGTAATGTAACAAAGTTAATTTTTTCCTTCCGCTCATGTTCGTAGTCTGCCAACCGATTCGACAGCTCCGTGGTAGCTTCGTTGTAGTTTTCCCCGCCTAAGCAGAAAACGTCCATGCCCACTCCCAGAGAGGCTTTGCTCTCCAAATCGAGGTGACTCTAGGGGGAAGAGGAGCAAAATGGGGAAAAATATACACATATATGTGTGTACATATCGGAACGCTCCGATGTGTACATACTTGCATGCTCACATGGGTACACATTTAAATGCCCATTTACACGTGGTACGCGCATCTCGTGCTCATCATGCCGCATAGGAACGGCGGAGGACTACTCACCCGTATGGCCTCCCCAGGAGACATGTGAAAATGGGCATATAATGCACTGGGCTTGTAAATCCCAATGGGCAAAATGGACAAATCGATGGTTTCCCCTTTTAAAACAGTGTTCACATAACTTTTGATTTGCAAAAAATGGTTCGAATACGCAGAGTGGCCACTATAAAAAATGGCCGCCTTGGTTTTCCTATCATGGATTAAGAAGGATCCCGGAAGGTAGACATTTTTGTCGAAAACATACCGATGGCTATTTGTCAAGGTGGGCAAATAGTAAAAGGACAAATTTTCGAATTCTACTTTGTTAAACCAATTTAGGGGATACACAACAGGGAAGTTCCTTTTAAATAAATATCTTCGAATGTTCATACCACCAATAACTATGCTGTTATCTCTGAGTACAATTTTTTTCAGTGTACTTTTGTCCATCGTGTCAAATCGGTTGTTGCTTAGCAGGATGAAGTCAATGCTCGGTAGATGTTCGAAGCTTATTCCTGCCTTTACTGTTCTTTTCACGCCCACTAGGTTGAAGAGACCAATTCGGTTAGACAATACTGGGTCTACTAAAATATTGAAGCTGGCGCTTTGAATTAAGATACTCATGTGCCCAATGTATATAACGTTGAATTTTTCATTTTGCAATTGTTTTTTTTTTTTTATTTCTAGGGGTGTCACGTAGGAAATTCCTTCTGGCCATATGGCGTTCTTCTCTTCGATCTCGTCGTCATTTTTATGCTCTCCATTGTTGCCAGTGGGAATTCCTACATCGTGGCTGCTTCGGCATGTCAAACCGAACTTGTCTGCTACCCCCTTGGTGCTGCTTTTTTTTAACCTGTTTTTTTCTATCACATTTTTGCCCCTCAGCAGTGTGTGCAACAGGGGAGAGTAAACGTAGCGGTCCAAATAAAAGAAAAAAAACGCCGCCTTCTTTTTTAAAGTCAAATTTGGAGTTAAGACATTGTTGTGGGTGTAATAGGGTACAAGCATGTTTATTATTTTTTTCATTTGACCCTTTTTTTTTTTTTTTTTTTTTTTTCTTTCCTGGGAGATTGTCGTGCAGGAGTCCTTTTAAACAATTACATCTTAATGCGGGTAATGCGTAACGCGTACCACGTGTGTTTCTCCTTGTGCTGTTGACAGATTTGTGGTGCAGTGCAAAGGGATGCTCTTAGCTGGGCGATTTATTCTTCCTTTTCTTTTTCGCGGCATGTGGCGCTTAAGCAATCAGCGCATCATTCTGTGTCCTCCATGTAACGCGGTATAATCGGCGAATATGTCACAGGAAGGATGTTAAATATTTGCTAGGGGAGGAATTTTTTTTTTCTTTTTGTGTTGCAGCACTGTGGTAGGTACTTTTCTTTCCCTTTTGTAAAATTAAAACAAATGTAGAAAGGGAGAAAAGGTTAGTATCTCTAAGCATCCCACAAATTATTTAGTGAATATTTCCCCTCTTTTTAAAATAACAAATTTGAAGAGGTTAAAACTGAGATGAGTTTAATACTAACCTGACCGAGCACCGTCAGTACATGTACACCAAGCGGATCTTTTTTTTTTTTTTATTCGCATTATTGTAAGGCGAAAATGGGAATACTTCATTTTTGTGTAGAGGTTATATAAACATAACAAGCCGGTTTGAAGCATCCTAGAATATTTAACAAAATGGGAAGATGCAAAAAAAAAAAATTGGATACACTCTTAAATGAATGTACAATTTGGATTTGTTCCCAGATCTGCTGTTCCATTGTGGCACACCTCACATAAGCGTTACAAAAAAAAAAATAATTGAAAAAATGAACAAGCGAAATACAAATATGAAAGGCTAAGGGGAAAAATAAAGTGCACGTTAACAAATACCACTAAAGGAGGACCACCCTCGAAGGATATGTTCGCATCAGCGTAGCTAAGCAACCGCGTGTGAAAGAGCAACAATAGTATATATTCACACGTGGGTGACGCATTCCTCCCCATACACGGAGGTGCATAATTTTGATGTACACATTATTTCAAAATCGGCCACACTGTTAAGTGGTGGAAAAGTCTAGTGAATGTGAAATTTCCTGTTTGAAAGATTTGTAGCACTGCATCTAGGAATGAAAATGTACACATTATAATTTTAAACGTTTTTACCCTTTCCTGTTTCGTTCTTCGATCCTTTGGTGAAGGGCTCATCTTGTCGATGCCGGTTTTGCATGCTTCAAGTTTCATGTTTTATGCTTCCTTCTTTGTTCTTTGTTCTTCCATGTCCCTCCTTCCATCTTCCTTTTTTTTTTTTTTTTTTTTTTTTTCACTTGTGAGTAAAAACTCGTGTAAAATGTCCGATGAGCAAAGAAATAACAAATTAGGGGAAAAAAGAATATAGGCTCAGCATTATTTCTGTGCGCACTTGTATGCATTCAAGTTCCAAATTGTAGAATAAAGGGAAAAAAAATAAAAGGATAAATGGATTACCAAGTGACATTCTTACAAATTCAAATGTGGGCGGCGTCGCTAGCGAGTTTCCATGAGCACGCTGGCTCGTTTAGCCTTTTACCATTTCAATATTTCACCATTTCCACATTGCAACGTTTTAACATTGCAACATTTTAACATTGCAACATTTTAACACTTCACTGTTTTAATTTTTTTTTTTTTGTGACCATTCGTTCTTTCCACCCCGCGTTTTACAGAAAATATGCAAAGCGGAAATGCAGAAATAGAGACACATTTTTAAATGTAGTTGTGGCAACATTTGGCAATGATATGTTTTTTTCGCCCCATATGTTGCTTGTGCGTGGCGTGCAAGTCCACTTCTGTGCACGTGTGTTAGCGAATTGATACGTATGAATGTGTACACATATCCTTATTTCTGTTTAGTTTCATCTACGCCGCGGAAACGCGCCTATATAGCTTGCTTCACGTGCGTACTCTAAAACTTTAAGACTTTTTCAACGTGAAAGTTAGCAAATTTACTGGAACGCCAAACAATGAGGCAATATGACAGTCTAAGCGTCAGGAGGGCGAAGGAAAGCGAGAGCATCGCTAGCTATAACAAGAAAGTCACCTCGCTGAGCAGATTTTCAAGTCGAGAAAATAAAGCAAAAGATTTCAAAATTGACAAATGGAACGATGAAGATAAGCTGAAGCTGTGTGAAAAACGGGTTCTGCACAAGGCAGTTAGTGACAAGAAAAAGATGCCGACTCTTTTGAGAAGGGTCCACACGAAGCCACATGCTAGTGCGGGAACACCTACCACACTGCCCAGGAGTGAAGAACGGTGTGGAAGGATGAACAGGGACAGCCCCAAGGGGTGTAACGTGTATAGAGCTCAAACAATGACAAAAACTATGGCTCGTAGCAGCAACGTGAAACGAATGGAAATTTCGGAAACCGCGGGGGTTATCACCAAATTAAGCCAGAAAAAGAAAGACACGTTGAAAAAAAGAACAAAGGGTGAAGTACAAGAGGATGCAAAGAACAGCAGTAAGGAGCCAGCGCAAATGGGGAATGAAAATCCCAGGGAGACTTCCCATACGGAGGTACTTAACAAAACCCAGTGCAATCAAAAATACTCGCCCAATGTGTTAACGACAAATACAAGGAGCGCAAAAGGGATAATTTTTCAAAACGCGCACATTTCCGCTTGGGCAAGTAAAACGAATGAACGTGGCAAAATAAATTGCAAAAGGAGTAACAGAGATAATAGTATGCCTTGCAAATTTTCGGAGTTCACCAAAGGGATAGAGAAGCCTACTCCGAAAAACAGCGATTCAAAATATTTAGAAGGAATTTTTAGACCTCCCCAAATGGCTAGCTTATCATCTTATGGCGTAGAGGAGCATTTTGCCCAGCATGCCTTGTCAAGCAGTAGCGATGCAAATGGTAGAAGGGAGCCGGGGGGGAAGCATGAACGAAAAGGTAGCCATGTGGAGGGGGCTTCCCCAAACAAGCTGATCAGTCATTTTGCACATAATCCGCAGGACCATCCTCAGTCCCATCCGCAGAATCACAGTTTCATAGAAAATTCGAAGGAGAATAACATAAGAAGGGAGGACAATCACTGTGTCATTCGGAAGGAGGACAAAAGTGGATATATTCCAATGTGGGACATAAATAGCCACAAAATTATTGACACAGATTTTTTTCTTAAGGCCAAAGGTAGGCGTTCCCTCACAGAAAAAAAAAATAACCAATACACACAAAAGGAGATTACCCCACATGAGCATCTTCCCCCTTCGATTAGCCAAAAGGAGGATGCAAAGTTCAGCGCGTATAGTTCCAACACGGCCGATTTGGACATGAAAAAAAAATCCCCTGGAAGGGAAATTCCTACCAATGTGTTATTCCCTAATGAGAGAACCCCATTAGATGCATCAATTAAGAAAGTGCAAAATTCTGAACAAGAAAAAAAAGGCCTCAAAAAGGACCATATCTATTTGCATGCCCTAGGTAGCACAAATTACCATCGGGCTAATTGTGCCAGCCATTCGAATTATAACGAAACTAGGCTCTGCGAAAATAGGTCTTTGACAGATATCATGTTTAGGGGGAAAATAAGAAACGAAGGAAAACTCAACACATATGGTGGAGGCCCTTCTAAAGGCAACTACAAATTGGAAGAGTCATCCACGGTTTATCACACAAGCGGTGTGAACAGTGTCAATTGTATGGAACAGCCCAAATGGATGAACCTCCCATATATACAGAAAAAGAGCTCACGTAATAACGGAGATATTATTCATGCCAATAGAAGTACCAAAATTTTGACCTCCCTCGAGAGTGATCATCCCCCCTTCACTTATAACAACCTCACGCATGACATTTCCAATCATAAGTTGCCGAGAAGGAGCGGAAATATCCACCTTCGCAGTGTGACGAACACAAACGAGTATTTTAAGAAGAGTGCTGGGTATGTCGATAAATTCAGTGTGGATAAATTCAGTAGGGACAAATGCCGTAGGGATAAATGCAGTAGGGATCATCTCACCGGATCGAAATGGCAAAGTGGTTATATATGGACAAATCTTAGTAGCCGGCAGGGAGGGCGTGGAACCGAAGTCCACCACATTTCCCGGGGTGACCAAATTAGGAGCAACATCACCGCCGAATTGGTCAGTCATGGGGTTGGACCCTCCACGTTGGCAACGCATAGAGATTTACTTGCCAATTCGGCATGTCGGCCAAGTGAATCGTCCTGTTTGAGTGGCAACAGTGCTGGATTTCCCAATTTGAGTAGGCCCAATTTGACGAGTCCCGCCTTCCCCCATGTCCATCCCAGTCAACCGAACCAACCCGAATATGTAAATGGGATCCCGCACCTCTTCGATCCTTCCAAAATGACGTTAAAAGAAAACCATCCCATTTGCACTACGAAGATGACTAAGGCAACACCAAATGAACCCCCCCAAATTGGCCGCGCTGATGAGGTTAGTCAACAGACATACAGTGTGTTAAGTGGGCCCATAAATACGACCCCAAATCATTTCCAGGCCTTTAAAAAAATATACATAGATCACAGTATGAGCGAAATAAAACACATGAACGGCTATGTGTTAAAGGAGAGGGATCCTAATGTCGACTCAGGCGTGTCAACATGCATCTCGCAGGCTAGTGCCAGCACAATGGAAAAAATGGGGATAGAAAGATTCCTAAAATGTGACCAACCCCCGAGTGTAAAAAATGAAAAAAATTTAAGCGAAATGCCAGTGGGTGGGAGTGTGCCCCCAATGAGAGGCTATTTTCCGAAGCGGGTCTTAGAGGGTATAGGGGGGAAAAGCCGTGAATTGAGCGGTCACGTCTACATGGAAGGGATTCCTAACGAACCCACCCTCGTGGATGATCCCTACGTGGAGGGTATTAACATCAGCCCCAACGGGGCCATGGTTCACATTCGCACCTACACAAGTGGCGATGTGAAGGGAGACGTGTGTAAAAAAAACGAACTTTGTAATAGTAACCTCTTCACTCCTAAAGACAAACACGATTCTGAGGATAAAACCAAAAGGATAAACATGGTAATTCATCCTAATGGTACTCTTAACAATTTTGCAATGAAAAAGAAGCAGGGACAAAACAGTCATGACGAAAATGTGAATACCGGTAAGCAGGCACCAGGACCGGGACAGCTAACAAGCGACTCATTCTATAAAATCCCACTTCGAAACAAATTCATCAGTGCGAGTAGCACCAGGGTGATGCCAAATGGTGAAGTGCGCCACAGCAGCAATGTGTTTTTCCCGCCTCCAGTATGCAGAGGTGTGTCTAAGAGCGTATTGGGCAGTAAAGCCAGTTTGTCCCTCTCCCGTATAGCAAAAGATGGTGCAGTAGCTGCTGGTGATTTTGACAGGAAAGCGGAAAAGGGGCCCCTTCCATATGGACTAGCTCCAAGCAGCATAGTTAAGGCGGCCCCAGAAAAATATTTAACCAACGCGCGTACCCTTCTAAGTAGCAAACGAGTCGATGATACTACCCTCCCATTGCTAAGTAACGGCACTGATAGAAGCATCATGCAAAATCACCCCTCTGGGAAGACGCAAAACAGGACAAGGGAATATCTGCATGATGGAGCAACTCCCCCGTACGAGGCGGGAACAACATTGACCGATTTGAATGCGACAAAGGAGATCCCCAACAGAAATGGATTGCCCGTTTGTAAATCAATTAGCAACAGTGATATATACAACTACTTAAGGAACAAGCACCCAAAAAGTTTGACGCATTTTCACCGCACAGTATCCTACAGGAATCAGAGCTTGAAAAAGGAGAAATCCCTCACAGTTGTGTCGCAGAAGGGGGGCACCAATGCGGTTACCAGTTCGAGGGCAAAGGGGAAAGTGTTGGACGGCGCCAAATTTTGCGACCACGCCAAAACGAGGGAACAGCTCTTGGACGCTGTGTTCGAAGCAGACTCAAATCACACCGTAAAAAAGGCAGTCGTGATTGGCTGCAACTACATGAGGGAGGAAGAAGGGGAGAGGCTCTACGGGGCAGTTAACGACGCATACATTTTCAGTAGAGTGTTAGTTAAGTACTTCGATTTTAAACCCGAAAATGTTCTGTTGTTAACGGATAGTTTACCTTCAAATGCGTACATATATGAAGATTTTGACATAAATAGAAAGAAGTACATAAGGCAGGGAGGTAGCCAAAACACAACAAAAGAGGAAGAAAGGAAAAAGAAAAAAAATTTATTTCATGTGTTCAATACGAGCAGCATAGGTAGTCATGAAAAACACGGTGCAGAAATAGATAAGTGCAATTCGTGTAAAAATTTCACTATTAAAAATGTCGATTTTTCATCCGAAGGTATCAGCTTCCATTTGTGGCCAACAAGGATAAACATTTTAAAAGCTGTAAATTGGCTAGTCAGAGATTCCCTTCCACTCGGTTCATACGTTTTTTATTTTGCGGGGAAGAGTGTGCAAGTGGATAATATGAGTGGATGGGAGGGGGAAGGTTACGACGAAGCTTTTCTTTGTTCCGATCCCTTTAACCGCATGGTAGAACAGAACGTATTGACAGCTATTCAGTTGAAAGATCTATTGTTAAGTATAAATGCCAGTGCCCAAATGACTATCGTGCTGGATTGCTCAGGTTGCCAAACTATTTTAGACCCAGCTGGGACCGAGAATTCTCTGTCTTATATAAAAGGTTGTAAGCAGAAGGGCATATGGCCGATTACGAACCCGACCAATAAGGTACATAAAGCTATTTACGATGTAACCATACTGAATAATGCTAGTATGAAAAAATATTTTTGCAAATCGAGGTACCATCAATTGGTAGAAGTAGAATCCACGGCTGCTATGATTGACCCTCTGCTTCAGTCCATTTCGTCGTTACCCATTGCGCCCAAGGCTTACTGCTTCTGTGCATCTACGTGGGAGCAGATTTCCATAGAGGGGTTGTTCCCCCTTATGGAGTTCGCTCGCGTTACACAGATTAAGGGGATGGATACGTTTGTCCACACGGAGGAGAAGAAGAAAGGCTGCAAAAAGAAAGGAGGTGGAAAGGGAGAGACGGGTGGAGAAACCCTCAGCAAGCCAGACGAAAATTCACCCAAGAAGAGTGCCTACGAGAAAAATTTCAGCTTCTCGCTAAATGTGGTGAAGATGTTTTTTAACAGTAGTATCGCGGGAGGTAGCAGCGGTAACGAACATGCACAGGGCGCGACTTCCCTTGAGAGGCGGCAGAAAAACTCGCACAGTGGAGAATGCGGTAGTGGGACTGCAACGAAGGAACCTGCGTGCGGCGAAACGGGCGACCACGGCGACGATGGAGAACAGGGGGACCACCGCAATAACAGCAACCACAGCGACTGTTCCGAGGATGCCCCGTGCAGCGCAGAAGGAAGCGAGGTGGAGGGAGAAAATGATTACGTACTCGTCAGCCACGGAGTATTCACATACTGCCTAGTTGAGGCCATTATGGAATTTAAAGAATCACAATTGAAAAATAACATTTCGGAAAGGAAAAATCAGCCCCTCCTACCAATGACTTTAAAAAACTTAATAATCCTTGTCCAAAAGAAGGTGGAAAATGTAAAAAATGAGAAATTAAAAAGATTAAATCAAAAACCAGAATTTACCATCCACCCAGGGGCTAATGCTAACAGTAAAAATTATTTTATCCATTATTGCAAAAATATACAATTTCAAAATTATAAATTTAATTTTATAAATGCGGACCTGTCTCCTTTTTTAAATGTTAACAAAGCGTGGGAAGAAATCAACAGGAATACCCTCAAGAGTAGGAAGTCCCTGTCCGTCACGACTACTCTGATTAATTCGGCATCTTCTAAATATTTCTCCGAGACAAATGAGCAGATGAAAAGTTGCTACTCAATGAGGTATTAGACGGGGGGAGTAATCCACGCGCATACGTGTGTATGGTGTAGCTCGTTTGGAGGTACATTTTCTTTATCCTTTTGCACCTCTTTTGATGGCGCACCAACGAATCCCCACCGAACAACGCGATGATTGCGCCCGTTGGAGCGGCACACGGCTGCTGTCTCCATTAGGTAGACCCTACCTTCTGATCATTTTCAATTCCGCCTTCTTCAAGACGATCGACAAGTGTGTATGTTATACCCTTTTGTCGACTTCTTAACCGTTTTTTTTAATCGTTTCAAGTGAGAACAAGTCCATATCGATGGGCAGCCCTTTCAAGTGCGCACACGATGTGCGGCAGAATCGGATCATTTTAGAATAGCAGGGGGGTCCATTTTTACCTTGCACTGCACATGTAGGCGTAAGGAAAGCGTAAACAAGGCGAAAACGCTCAAAGGCGCAAAACAGGTTGGCAACATTTCCCTAGCCGAATAGTCAGGCGCAATTTTGGCAGCGTTTAGGCCCATTATGTGCATAGATATAATTACCCCTATGAGGATGAAATCGGAGGCATCAATCGGCATTACATTCGTATGCACCACATGGTGGAGGTGACTTACAAGTGGGAAAAAACATGAAAGAGGAGGATTATGTCAAAACGATTTAGCTCCAAGTTGGCGGGGTTTCTTTTCGCATGGTTTATTTAGTTCCAAGTTGGTGAAGGCCTTCCCAAGAGGAGCAGCCATCAGTATAACGACTCAAACGTGGGGGGCAAAATGAGAAAAAAATTGACCCAGTTGATAAAAGGAAACCTCTTTTTTTTTTTTTTTGCACTTTTCTATTTAAGCCATTTGGTTATTTGTCCAATTCACATCATTGTTGGATCCTCGCTCCCCCTCCCCGGTATATGCGCACAGAACATGGTGCAGCATGGTGAAACCCGTGGATTGCTTCGGCAGATATGCCCCAAAATTGGCTCATAAAAATGGTGATAAGTCAGAAGTACAAATAGGTGCATTTCCCACTTGGGGTCAACACCCTTACAGTTACTACGTTGTATTTTCCCCATTGGGAAAAGCAGCCTTAGTCAAAATGTACGAATTGTTACGAAGACAATTTTGTCGAGGGAATACTCGTGAAACGATCGATTGCGTTAATAACGCACGGGTGCACAAGCATTGTGTGAAAAAAACAGATCGCCCCACAAATCGAAGGAAAAATTATATACACAACGTTACATATATTATCGCTATTGCCATGTGCGCGCACAAAGGGGTGACATTGAAAAGTAAGAAATTCGCAAAGATCATCATGTCGTGGTGATAATCAAAAGTGTCAACTAGTTTCCCCCCCTTTTTATTTACAAAAAAAAAGGGCTGTTCCTACCTTGTTTGGAGCAGAAGCATGCGCAAGTGTATTTTGCTGATTGAAGAAACACTCGTCTAGTTAGCCCTGGATGGGGGGTAAGGGCATCTCGCCCCTATAAAAAAAAAAAGAAAAAAAAAGAAAAAAAAAACTTAATTCTGGAAGTTTCCCGTTTGCGGGTTGCGCCTTATCCGTTTTGCGCTAACAGTTAGCTGAAAAGTTAAATCCGATGGAAACGCGCCTTTTGAATTTTTCTCCAGAGCACGTTTACGTTCCTAGTGCCTTTTGGATGCCTTAAGCAGTTTGGATACTTATTACTTAATTTTTTTTTTTTTTTTTCTTAAATGTGTATTCCCCCTTTTTTGTTGAACTACCACTTTTACGTGAACGGCATCGCGGCGGTGGGAGACGTGTGGGAGAAAAGGCACCAAACAAAAAAAGAAGGTTAATACGCGTATTTTTTAAAAAAAAAAAAAATACTCCCCAGGGGCCGCTACTCTTGCTAGTTCTATCACAGATAGGCATAAAACTCCATTTCTTGCCAGAAATATAGAGAAAGAAAAAGAAGAACAAAAAAAAAAGAACAATGCGCAAGTGGTGAAAGGTTACTCCCTTGATAAGGAAGAAAACCTGAGGGGAGTTTCCTAAAAGAAAAAAAGTGCTCACAGTTAGAATAGCCCACGTGGGGAACCTATCGGCTTAACCTAGGTACATTTCGCGCCTACGCAGTAGTTGAGAAGAACGCGTCATACAAGTTCATATAACGTATGAAAAGTCATTTCGGACGTAACATCGTTCATTCAAAGTGGCGCTGACTTACGCGCAGTAAGTTAGCCAAGCCGCGCCCAAGTAAGAAGCTCCACGAAGGCAGCATTGTTCGGTAGCTCCCCCCGCCCCTCTCCTGATTATGCAATGATTGTTCACGTTTCCCCCTTCACATTGGCTGCAAAGTTTTCCTTTTTATGGCAACGCTTAAGTGAGGAAACGCAATATACCTAATCGCCAGTTGAGCAAATTCTCAACTCTGGGGCAGAAGAACTGCAAAGGAATTTTGAAGAATACTACAGAGACTATTTTGACGGGGGAAACAAAAACGGTGAGCAATTCACATGAAGAGTAACAATTCGGAGGGAGGACTCAAAAATCGAAGTAGTCCTATTCTCTTAAAGGAGGGGTACATCTAGTTTGCAGAGAGAGCAGCAGCACCCCCTCCCCCATTAAGGGCCCCTCGAAGGGCTGACCACATTGATAATATACACTTCACGGGGAAGGCAGGAAATAGTGCAAAAAAAAAGGAAAGTAGGAAAAACCGTGTAAGACAAAACAAACAAACATGGAGATGGACCGAAAAACGCAAATTATCGACTACGATGGAAACATCATGGAGGATCTAAAGGAATGGATGATTAGGAATAAGCTAGCTAATCTTGGGTTCAACTATAACGTGATAGCAATCTTGGGGAGCCAAAGTAGTGGGAAAAGTACTCTCCTGAATAATTTATTTAAAACGTCATTCGATGTGATGAACACAAAAATGGGTCATAGTCAGACAACCCAGGGGTTATGGTTAAGTTTCGATACATTTGAGGATAGTTCGGTTGCCGCTTCCGAGCAGGGCAGTAGTACCACTCAAGTGAACCCCACGCTGATTTTAGACGTTGAGGGAAACGACTCTAAAGAAAGAGGAGACAACCGCCTGACCTTTGAGCACAGATCAGCGCTGTTCTCTTTGGCACTGGCAGACTGCGTAATTGTAAATCTGTGGTACCACTCGTTAGGGAATTTCACCGCATCGAATTATGGATTGCTAAAAACAGTCATGGAAGTAAATCTGGAGTTGTTTCAGCAGGATAAAAATTGTCCCAAAACGATTTTGCTATTCACAGTGAGAGACTGGTTCGAAGAGTTCGCATCGATCGATATTGTGAAGAATAAAATCGTAGAGGAATACTTAAACAAGATATGGAGTGAAATGAAAAAACCCCCAGAGGCAGAAAAGGTAGATATAAATAATTACTTCATCGTCGAAGTGGTAGGATTATCTCATGGAATTATTAAAAAGGCTGAATTTTTAAAAGATGTCGAAAATTTAAGGATGAAATGGATTAACCATTTGAGACCTCTACAGTATTCAAGGAACATTCCTTCCGATGGTTTCGCACATTATTGCAATAACATTTGGAATACCATCGTGAAGCAATCCCAACTGGACATTCCATCGCAGAAGGAAATGTTAGCTACCTTTCGATGTCAAGAAATTAAAAATAACGTCATTATTAACACTTCAAAAATGATAAAGGAGAAATTAGCTGCATCATCCTCGCAGCATAGTGATGCCACCATTGATGAGTTTAAATCGTGGGCTGAAAAAGATATAGTGGAAAAAAGCCTCGATGAATACTTTCTGGATGCCTCCAGGTATATAGAAAGCATATGCCTAAAGACGTCAGAGGAGTTACTGGAGAGCCTCTTCATACAACTACAAACCATTGTAGATAATAATTTAAATTTTACACAGAGGGTACTGTCGGCCAAATTTGCAAACGAGCTTAACACCATGTACAGTGTGTGCACATCCGACAAGAATGTGTTTCTCTTCACCAAAGAGTCCAATCTGCAAGTACGGAGAGATGGCAAGGGCAGTACATCTCCCAAGCAGGATAAGAACGATAAGATGGACCAAAATAATAGTCAAGACAAATGCATTCGTCTATGGTCCAGTTTTCTCTTAAATGCGGATAAGCTCGAGTACACCACTTTGTGTAACTTCTTTGAGGACTATGAAAAATGCAACATTGAAATTAAGAAGAGAAATAAAATCCACGAATTTAATTATAAACCCTCCTTGAGCATCCTCTCTACGGCCATGTGCAAAGACCTGAACAGAATTCGAAATGCACAATTCACCGTCCTTCTGGATCGCACCAGGGCCACCATCAAAAGTAGGCTGAAAAATATCGACAGCCTACTCATCACGACGAAAAACCCGGAGGAGTACTGGAATAACACACTCAGAATTGTTAAGGCACTGCAGGAAAGTATAAATAACAACCTGACAAAATGCTTCATAAACCTGAAAGGGAGGGGCCCAGGTAGTTGCACCGCTGGCATTATTGCAGATGGAGTGTTGGGCCATGACGAGGATAATACATTCCACGTGGATAACCAAATGGAGGCACACAAATCGCTGAGCGACAAACAAGCCGCAAATGAGAACAACCATTACGTAGAGGAGAACCTCCTAAACTACAAAAAGATTGACATAATTAAAAACAAAGGTAAGTACATCAGCACTGTAAGCGAAGAAATTGAGAAACAGATAAAGAACAAGAAGGCCATTTCAGAATTAAACAGTTACTACCTGGACGAAATAATGGATGTGCTTAAAAGTAAGCTAGACGAAATTTCGGATAATCTATCCTCCATCATAATTCAACGATTTGAATCTGTGTTCAATTACGATGATGCTGAGCAACCAAGACAGTGGCGTGAGATCTCCGTGGCGGAACTGAAGAAAATTTTCCGAGAATCAAAAAATTATGCTCTTCTAATTATTGACATTCTTCAGAAAAATATTAACGTAGAGATCATTGATGATTACTTACCAAATAATTTTATAAAGGATGAAATTATCGAGAAGGGGAAGAACAAGGCCAAGCGGAAGATCCAAGAAATGTGCAGGGATGCTCAATATATCCAAGAGACGGGTGGTAAAATGAGTTTAAAGAATGTGCCTCTTCTTTTCTGGGTTATTTTGTTAATCTTAGGATGGAACGAACTTCTCTTTTTTACTCGCTTCTTTTTCCGCCTGAATATTATTTTGCCTCTTTTCTTGGCCGTCGCCGTCATTCTATCAACCCTCGTTTTTAATGGCAATATGGAGGTGCTTTCCATCATCAACAAGGTGGTTTTTTTTCTGGCCAAGAATTCATATGGCTTTTACCGGCAATTGCAGGCAATGGGCGGCAAGGCTGCGCAGGGTTCCGAGGCGGACTAGCGAGTGGAGCGGCTACGATGTGGGTGCCAAGCGAAATTTACAGGGATGTCATGGACTTGCTTTTTCCTTTTTCTTTCCTTTGTTTTTTTTGTCAAACCGCTTCGTTGCCTCCCCTCTTGCGATTTTGGCCAAGTTGTCCTACGCGGACAAGTGTGCGACATGTGTAGGGGGTTCCTTTCCCCGTCACCCCAGAGTTTAGCCCCACCTTTTTACGCCTTTTTTGAGTTCCGAGGGTTCGAAGAGCACGCTGGTTAGTTCGCACCACACGGAGTGAAGTACAAAGTGAAACACAGAGTGAAGTGCAGAGTGATGTGCAAAGTGAAGAGCAGAGCGAAGTGCAAATTGAAGTGAAGAGTGAACTTCAAATTGAAGTGAGAAGTGAAGTGCAAAGTACCAAGCGAAGAGCGAATCCCCTTACAGGCCAATCTTGAAGAACCCAAATGGACAACCCCCACTTCGCCTGCAAGAGTAGCATATCTAAGGCGCGTGGAGAAAGGGGCGCTCCAACCCCTAAACGCCTAGGTTGCCCAAATGAGCAAACATTTAAATGCACCATGGAAGCATACCGAAATGCCGCAAAAAGAAGCAACCTGCTATGTCCTTGAAAATGTGGAGAAGAATTAAAAAGCCAATTTAAAAAGGAATCAAAAATAATTTTAAAAATAGTTTCAAATGCGAAACAAAAAGTTGGAAATTACAAAAAAAAAATTCTAAAAATTGTCCAAATTGTAAATGAGATAAGTGTCCACCGTCAAATTGAAGTGTCAAACGGTTTTAGAAGAGCGCAGAGAGCCTGAGGTATGCGTTATGGTGCGGTTATATTTTGATGCCCCATTTTGCTGCCACATTTTAGGGCCACATTTTAGGGCCACATTTTTTTTTTTTTCCCATTTGAAGAAAACAATTTTTCTTTTTTAAACACAGAACCGAGGAGACATGTATGCCCTTCCTCTCGCTCATTTTAGAGCTCCTTGTTTATGGTGCCATTTTCCTGCATCACTCTGTTCATGAGTGTGCCCATTTCCTTGGATATCTAAAAGAAGGGAGTGATGAGCGGTGAAACGTTTCCGCATGGAGAGGGTTCTTCGAGGCGTCATTTTAGTGTGCAAATGTATGTACCCACTCGTCAGTGCGCATTGCAGCTGTGGAGGAACCAAATAAAGGGTGGGAGTTCCACCCCCTTGGGGAGAACCTCATCCCTCTTTAGTTGCTCATTTTTACCTTCATAATGACGTTATGAAAATTAAAGACACAACTCGATATGTGCTTGTAGTTCTCTTGTGACATATAAGATTTTGTGTATGGAAGGAAAATAACTGTGAATCGTAAAATTAAGTAGACTGAGATTGCTAGGTATAGAAGTTTGAAAATCGGTTTGATGATTCCGTCCCATAGGAGCATGCCGGCGAGGTATCTGTGTTGGGAATGGTGGGGGTGGGATCAAAGGTCTGCTGGTTAGCTATGCGTGGTACGAATGAGCGATGGACTCGTTATTGCCGTTTCGATTGGCTACTAGGGATTGGAGAACCCCCTAGACGATTCCCCTGATGGGCACCACCCACTCGAACGTACACTATGTACATCCACTCCAGTATGGTAAAAATCGCGGAGGAAAGCAAAATAAATCCGAGAAAATTATTCTTCTCATCAAACATAGAATATAGATGGATGCTTATGGGTACTAAGTCGGAGGATTTCCTAAACCAGTTGAGATGGAATAACGACTCTGTAGAAGGGTGTAGGGTATGTATGCGTATGGGTTGCTTCAAAAAAAGGGTTTTCATTGGACGTCCAACGGCAGGGCGTCTGCTCGCCTTCCCACATGCATCTATACGTATATATACACATACGTACATACACATACGTACATACACATATATTCACATACGCACAACTCAGCGCAAGGCCGAATTCGACCAGCTGCTAGGAGTGCGTACTAATTGGCCTGGGCAAGACGGGGCAAGGCGCCTTCTTCACATAAACCTTTTTCACATTGTCTACCTTGAGTTTACTTCTTATTTCTAACTTGATTGGCCTTTTCTCCCTCTTCCGATAATACAGCAAATTGTACACTTCGTCTTCCGTGGTGGAGTAAATATTATAGCACCCATTCCATACAATGTGGCAGAAGATCAGGTACGAAATGAGGAAGCAGTAGGTTGCTATTCTTTGGAAATCCATTTTGTAGGCGGAGAGTCCTATGCTTCGTCCAGATGTCTTTTGTGTTTCTCCGTTTTTGCGCTTTGGTTTCCGTTTTATTGTCCTTTTTCGATTTCTTTTCTCGCTTTACGAACTTTTCTTACTTTTCTTGCTTTTCTTACTTTTCATACTTTTCCCACTTGTCTCACTTTTCTCCTTCCTTTTGCTAATCGGACGAAGAGGGATTTTTCATCTTTTTTTTACCAACAGCGTTCCGCTGGGGCGGCGTAATCGCCGGGGACATACAGCTGGCAAGGAACATATCAAATGAAAGACATACATAGAAAAAAAAAAAAAAAAAAACAATTCTCATTTTAATGCCATACAAAATTTACCAATTTAATTTTTACTCACGTAGTTCTCTAAATGGTGAATAAAATGGCGGGAAAAGTAACTTCCACAAAATTGTGTTATCTTGGAATCCGCCATTGGCCCTTACCTTTTTGTACGTACATGTGTATATTTCGCACTTGCGTGTCTGTATCGTCGTTTTCTTTTTCTTCTCTTTTTTCCAACGGTTCAACGAAGATGTAGAGGTTTTTTTTCTCACTATTTATGGCGGTCGACGTGTTTCTACATGGATGCCCCTCGCTTAATGTCGTGCAATTTTCCTCGCCCACGCACTCTCTCATAGACTTGCGCCTTTTAGCTTGATTTAAAATTCAAAACGGGGTACCCCCTCGTTCCCCGAATGAACCAACTTACACACAAACAAGAACATCCTAACTCTCTCAACAGGTATGTCCGTTTAAATTTTACGAGGCATTCCCCAAATGAAGGGAAAGTTTCCGCATCGTGGTAAGCAGAACGGAGGGAGAAATTCATGAGCCACCACGAGTACCAGTGCTGCCATGTAGGGGCATAGGTTATCATTAAACTTTTTTTTTTTCTTAAATAATAAATGAATGGGGGGAAATAAAAAACGAAATGGTTAGCTATAGGTGCACCATTAAAGAGTTATTTTTCTAGTTTTAGATAAAAACATTTTGCCCTTCTACGGGTTGTTACCTAATGCGCAGAAACAGGACATACGCCTGTGCGGCGAGTTACACATGCGTGAATGCATGGTCATACCTACTCTATGCATGTTCATGTGTGTTCACCTTTTGTGCATTCTGTTCATATTTGTTTTTATGTGCGAGTTATAAGACACTTTGGGGGGAATTATCATTTTGTTCCCTCCTCAGCTTGGCTAACTAGGGGCTTCACCTATAAGGCGAATTGAGAATGACGGAACCACGCGTGGTTTGGAGTGCCACTATAGAGGATATTAAACTATCGCGCGGGTGGGGTTGGGGCGGCCATAAATAGAACCGTTCTTTGACACTTCTCCTTTTTATGTGCATCATTTTACCGGGTCATTGTATACAACGCATATGCGAGAATGTGCACTCCACACGTGCATGCTCTCTTAGCGGTACTTTCGCCAATTCGTGTGTTTTAATTATTTTTTCTCTTCAGCCTCGCCGCACTCGAAACTTCGTTTCTCTTTAATGCCTACAGAATGTGAGCATGTACCATCGTCATCGTGTTATTTCTTCTTACCATCGCTCCTTAACCGTTTTAGTGCATCATTTTCTTCCTTTTTTTTTTTTTCCGATAATTTTTAACTAACAGAGCGTTGAAGCGGTTAAATGCGTTTCTTCACTTTATCTGTACCTCTTAAACGCGTAGGCAGAAGGGGAAATTAAATTTTGCCTTTTGCATCTGTTTGTTTTGTTTTTTTTTTTTTTTTTTCCCCAATGGGGAGGAGGCGCCTCGACAAAAATCTAAACGACGCGGCCACCCCGAACAACGGCAAGAACGTGAAAAATACGAACATTGGAAAAAAGGCTAAGGGCGCAAAAAAGAGGAAAAGGAAAAAGAGCTCGGACAGCGAGGATGATGATGACATTGAGATCACCAACACGAACGTCAATTTGAACCCAAATGTCGAGGTGTCGTGTAAATTTAAACAGAGGGAAAAAGTGGACATCAACTTGATCCTGGCCCAGGATGAAGCGGATGCGTCCAAGTAGGAAACGAGCGGAGTGCCCATCGGATATAGCTATTTCTATGACAATACGCATGTGCGTATGTTTGTGTGTTTAGTTATTCCCCCGAGGAATGAATGACTCTGGGTGGTCCATCGGATAGGACAAGTCCGTCCAGCTCCGCTTGCTCCGACGCGTGCATATACAGAAAAGGAGTCGGCTAGAATAAGTCCCGCGAGGTGACCACCCAAATGGCAGAACAATGTCTTTACGTATGTAAGATGGCCGCCCTGCAACTTGATCGCATTGTTCTTTTTTCTCCTGTTTGGTTCATTCACCATACTTAGCTACCCATTTCACTTCTCATTTTTTCCCAAGAACGAAGACCTACTGCTGGACCAAGGTCAACGGAGGGCAGAGTTCCCTGGCGCGAAGAAAATTTTGCATCGTTTGCGGGTTTGAAGGAAAATACAAATGTTTGAAGTGCTACGAACACAAACCAGTGTCCTTCATCAGATACTACTGTTCTTTGAACTGTAAAAAGGAACACGACGAGTTCTCCTGTTGTAAGAGTAAGATGTTGGACACATGGTAGGGGAGGTGCTTGCCTAACTGCGTGGGTGGAAACTCGGTTAAGGATACCAAGGCGGTGCAGCACACTTTTGCAGAAGCTCCCCACCCTGGTTTTTTTCATTTTCTCATTACGATAGCATCGTCATATTTCTGCAGCGCGTTTCATTTCGCGAGCGATGACGTACTTTGCTATTCCCCCGCCCCGCCCAGATAGCAGCCACATTCTCACGTGGTTTCACTTTTTTATCATTTCAT